CCACCCCCCTCCCCTCTAGAACCCTCAGTTTGTTTCTCAGAGTCGATAGTCTCATGGTTCGTCTCCCCCTCCAATTTACCCCCCTTCATTTTTCCCTTCCACTATCTTCTTTTTAACATGTAATGTAGTATTTGTTTAAAAAGATTTTATTTTAAAAAATAAAAAATAAAAATAAAATAAAAAAATAAAAAGATTTTATTTATTTATTTGTCAGAAAGAGAGAGTACAAGCAGGGAAAGCAGCAGGCAGAGGGAGAAGCAGGCTCACCACTGAGCAAGGAGCCTGATGTGGAACTCGATCCCAGGACCCCAGGACCATGACCTAAGCCAAAGGCAGATGCATAACCAGCTGAGCCACCCAGGCGTCCCAATAAGTACATACCAAGCACTAGTGAATGCCTGGCATTTACTCAACACCTTTTTTTTTAGATTTTTTTTTTTAATTTATTTGACAGAGAGAGAGAGAGACAGTGAGAGAGGGAACACGAGCAGGGGGAGTGGGGGAGGGAGAAGCAGGCTTCCTGCTGAGCAGGGAGCCCAATGTGGGGCTCCATCCCAGGACTCCGGGATCATGACCTAAGCCGAAGGCAGACGCTTAAAGACTGAGCCACCCAGGTGCCACCTGTAATGTATTATTTGTTTCAGAGGTACAGGTCTGTGATTCAGCAGTCTTACACAATTCACAGTGCTCACCATAGCACATACCCTCCCCGGTGTCCATCACCCAGCCACCCCATCCCTCCCACCCCCACCACTCCAGCAACCCTCAGTTTGTTTCCTGAGATTAACAATTCCTCATATCAGTGAGGTCATGTGATACTTGTCTTTCTCTGATTGACTTATTTCGCTAAGCATAACACCCTCCAGTTCCATCCACGTCATTGCAAATGGCAAGATTTCATTCCTTTTGATGGCTGCATAATATTCCATTGTATATATAAACCACCTCTTCTTTATCCATTCATCTGTCGATGGACATCTTGGCTTTTTCCACAGTTTGGCTATTGTGGACATTGCTGCTATAAACATTGGGGTGCACGTACCCCTTCGGATCCCTACATTTGTATCTTTGGGGTAAATACCCAGTAGTGCAATTGCTGGATCGTATGGTAGCTCTATTTTCAACTGTTTGAGGAACCTCCATACTGTTTTCCAGAGTGGCTGCACCAGCTTGCATTCCCACCAACAGTGTAGGAGGGTTCCCCTTTCTCCACATCCCCGCCAACATCTGTCATTTCCTGACTTACTAATTTTAGCCATTCTCACTGGTGTGAGGTGGTATCTCGATGTGGTTTTGATTTGGATTTCCCTGATGCCGAGTGTTGTTGAGGACTTTTTCATGTGTCTGTTGGCCATTTGGATGTCTTCTTTGGAAAAAGGTCTGTTCATGTCTTCTGCCCATTTCTGGATTGGATCATTTGTTCTTTGGGTGTTGCGTTTGATAAGTTCTTTATAGATTTTGGATACTAGCCCTTTATCTGATATGTCATTTGCAAATATCTTCTCCCATTCTGTCGGTTGTCTTTTGGTTTTGTGGACTGTTTCCTTTGCTGTGCAAAAGCTTTTATCTTGATGAAGTCCCAATAGTTCATTTTTGCCCTTGCTTCCCTTGCCTTTGGCGATGTTTCTAGGAAAAAGTTGCTGTGGCTGAGGTCAAAGAGGTTGTTGCCTATGTTCTCCTCTAGGATTTTGATGGATTCCTGTCTCACATTTAGGTCTTTCATCCATTTTTAGTCTATTTTTGTGTGTGGTGTACGCACTCAACTTTAATTACCTTGTCATCATAGGCCTGAGGCCTGTGATGTCTTTTTTTTCTATTCTCACCTTCCAAGGCCTAAAGAACATTTAAAAAATTTTTGCCTGAGGACATTTTTGTGCATTCCATTAAATTATGAAAGGATAAACCTATAGTACAGATTTAGTCAGAAGTAGATACTTTTGTGCCTTGTGCTAGGTGGGTGGAGATTTAGTGCCCAAGAGAGGTCCTCATCACCCCGCTGAACAGGAGGGTAGATGGAGATGTAAGTTCTTTCCTTGCTGCAGGGTTTGGTTTGTTCTAATAGTACAAAGAGAATCAGTCCTCTTTTTGCTGGTGATGTCTATCACCTGGGTCTTTTTTTTCTTGATTAATTTTTGGTTTATTTTTTAAATGCAAGTATAATTAAGTACTGGGAAATCTCTTAACATAGTTTTCTGAATAGAATGCAATTTTGTTAATATAATTGATACATTTATATATAAAAAAGTGATTATTTCTGTAGATGCTGAAAAGATTTTTTTTATTATTATGTTTAGTTAGCCAACATGTAATACAAAATTAGTTTTTGATGTAGTGTTCAACAATTCATTAGTTGTTGCTCATCACCTGGGTCTTAAAGAACACATTCACCACGTCAGGTTTTCTTCCAAGTCATAGATTCTAATTGCTATTCTCACTGATTCTGTAAACTCTAATCCCTTTGGAGATTGACCTGATATTTTCACCATTTATCTTCTATGCTGATGCTGAGAAATCTGACAGCTTGACTCTGGTGTGACTCCTCTCTCATAGGAGAAGCTCCAGACAGCTCTGCAGAAGCTGAGGGAGGAGCAGCAGGAAGAGAAGATGTTGGAAGCTACCCTCAAAGAAGAGAGAACTTCCCTGAAGGTAGGAGGAGATACTTCCTGAGAGAGTTAGACAAAAATATAGACAGGATCTTGGGTGTTAGTGACAAGGAGCTCCCTTCATTTCTGTTCCCTGATAGTCGATATGTCCAAAAGTATTTTGGTTAGTCCTCTTCTTTATCCTTTCCCTGATAAAGTTGGGGCTGAAAAGTTAACATGTTATAAATGAACACAGATGTTTAGAGGGAAGTATTCACATAGAAGATGGCTAGTGAATTCTGTGTTACATTCCTGTTGTGATTTTGAGTCTTTGACCCTCCTGGGGGAAGACAGTTAGCAATGACTCAAGGTTTTGTCTTCATTGTTCAACTTTCAGCCAAGGGTGAGGGGATGGGGGTCAGCAGTAAAGCAAGGAGTCTTGGTTGTCCTGGACAGCTGCGTGAAAGTAGAGCCACACCCAAGGATCCTATTTGGGCTCAGGGTTGGCCTCAATAATGCAAACTTGAGGCCATCATTTTGGAATGTGATGGACAAAAAAATAATAGGAAAAGTTGGTTTCCCCAAGAATTTTTCCTTTGCTTCTCTCTCATTTCCCAGTGAGAACTTTCCAAAGAAAATAGTTCTCTTTCTGACTCCTAGTCTCTGCCGAAAGCCTGAGTACCTCTCTTTCTCATTTCTGAAGAATCAAATACAAAATGAGAAAAGGTGTGTCCAAGCACAGTTTAAAAAACTCAAGACTATCCTGGAGAATGAGGAGCTGAGGATAGTGCAGCAGCTGGAGAGCGAGGAGAAAGCTATTCTTGACACCCTGGCTGCAACGGAGCTTGAGCTGGTCCAGCAGAGCCAGCTGATGAGAGACCTGGTCTCGGAACTGGAGCATCGGCTGCAGGGGTCGACAGCAGACATGCTGCAGGTAAGACTCAGGAAGAAGCCCCAGCATCTGAGATTTGACAAAAATGAAGACCAAGTTTCCTTCTCTCCCATGTTGCTTTGCTCTTCCTGGTAGTGACCCTAGGGTTCCTTTGGCCTTGCAGTATCCCCTTTCTTGTACGTGTGTCAGAGATTATAGGAATAAATAACAAGGGACAATTTCATATTTATTTATCAAGTGCAGTGCAGAAATCTGATGGTGGCAGAATTTGCACTGTATCCAGTGATAGTCTAGAGGCCTCTGTGATCAGTGATCTAGTGCTAAGGATTTCTCAGGTACCTCTTCATGATTCAGCTTGGTCACAGACAAATGAACATCACATTCTAAGACTTTTTTTTCCCTCATAGAATAAACTAAGATTGTTCTCCCTCTTTCTCTATTTCCTGAAAAACAAATAAACAAAAAACAAATTGTGAAGGACTAGTATTATTTATTCTTTAAATATTCAATAGAATTCACGAGTGAAGCCATCTCATTCTGGGCTTTTCTTTTTCAAAAGGCTTAAAATAATATTTAAAAATATGTATTAGGTTTGCTTAGTTTTTTACCATTCTTAAGTCATATTTTGATAATAAATGTCATTGTAGGGATTTGTCCACTTTAAAGTTGCCTGATTTGTAGACATAAAGGGTAGTCATAATAATCCCTTATAATCCCTCTGGTTTCCACAGCACACACAGTAATGTTTCCTCTTTTATTCCTAATTTTGGTGGTGTGCTTTTTCTTTTTTTTTTTTTTCTTGGACAGTTTAGTTGTCTTTGGTCAATTTTATTGATTTTCTTCAAGAACAAACTTTATTATTTCATTTACTTTTTTAACCTTTTTTTTCTTAAAGATTTTATTTATTTGAGAGGGAGAGAGAGAGAGCATGAGCAGGGGTGAGGGGCAGAGGGAGAGGGAGAAACAGACTCCCCACTGAGCAGGGAGACCAACAGGGGCTCGATCCCAGAACCCTGAGATCACCACCTGAGCCAAGGCTGCCACTTAACCAACTGAGCCACCCAGGTGCCCCACTTTTTTTAACATTTCTATGCCATTTGTGTCTGGTCTCCTCTTTATTGTTTCCTTTGTGTGTGTATGTATATATGCACGCATGAACATGAGTGTGTGTGCATGCATGAACACTGATATGTATGCACGCATGAACATGAGTGTGTACACACATGAACACAAGTGTGTGCATGTGTGCATACATGAACACATGTGTGTGTGCTGAGTTTAGTTTGTCATTCTTTTTCTAGTTTCTTTTTTAAAATTTTTTGAAAAGATTTTATTTATTTATTTGACAGAGAAAGAGATAGTGAGAGCAGGAACACAAGCAGGGGGAGTGGAAGAGGGAGAAGCAGGTTTCCCACCAAGCAGGGAGCCCGATGTGGGACTCGATCCCAAGACCCTGGGATCATGACCTGAGCCAAAGGCAGACGCTTGACGACTGAGCCACCGAGGCGCCCCTTTTTCTAGTTTTTTAAAGTGAAAACTTAGATTACTTATTTGAGACCATCATTTCTGATACAGTATTTAATCATATAAATGCAATGATTTAGGTATATTCCATATGTTTATTATATTTATTTATTTAATTATTATGTTCAATTAGCCAACATATTAATCCACATATTTTGATTCTTTAGTTGTTATCTTCATTAGTTCTACTTATTTTCTAATTTCTTTTGTGAATTTTTTGGTTAACCCTTGGGATATTTGAAACTGTGCTATTTATTTATTATTTATTTATTTATTTATTTAAGTTTTTATTTAAATTCCAGTTAACATACAGTGTAATATCTGTGTCAGGTGTACAATACAGTGATTCAGCACTTCCACACATCACTCGGTGCTCGTCACAAGTGCCCTCCTTAATCCCCAGCACCTGTTTCACCCATCCCCCCTACCCACCACCCCTCTGGTAATTATCAGTTTGTTCTCTATAGTTAAGTGTCTGTTTCTTGGTTTGTCTCGCTCTCTCTTTTCCCTTTGCTCATTTGTTGTGTTTCTTAAATTCTACATATGAGTGAAATCATATGGTATTTGTCTTTCTCTGACTGACTTATTTCACTTGGTGTAATACTCTCTAGCTCAACCACGTTGTTGCAAATGGCAAGATTTCATTCTTTTTTATGGCTGAGTAATATTCCATAGTATCTATCTATCTATCTATCTATCATCTATGTACACCCCACACACATATATATATGATACATTCTTTATATATATAAAGACATAAATACATTATTATATATTATAATATATATACACCATGTTTTATTTATCAGTAATCAGTTGATGGACACTTGTGCTGTTTCCATAATTTGGCCATTGTAGATAATGCTGCTGGAAACACTGGGGTGCTTGTATCCCTTTGAATTATATTTTTGTATTCTTTGGGTAGATACCTAGAAAGTATGCAATTTAATTTAACAATACTTGATTTCTTACTTTTTTTTCTGCTGTGGTTTTCAAATATAATTTCTTTGTAATCAGAAAACACATATTTTATTATTTCACTATTTAAATGTACTGATACTTGTTTTATGGACTAAAATATTGTATGTCCAGAAAATTTTTCTGTGTGAATTTGAGAAGAATGTGCATTCTGCGTTTATTAGATGAAATAGTCCATAGATATCTGTTAGGTCAAGTTGGTTGATAGTATCATCTATGTCTTCTGTATTTTTGATGACATACACGCTATTTTATCAATTATTTAGAGTGAGCTGTCAAAATCTACAACTACTGAATTGTCTATTTTTCTTTTTAATCTTTTCAATTTTGCTTTGTGTATTTTGAAACTCTGCTGTTGGGTACATTTACATTTGTAATTGTTATATCCCTTCTTGATGTACTGAACTTTTTATCATTCTGAAATTTCTCTCTCATTCTCTCATAATATTTATGGTCTGAAAGTCTATTTTGTCTAATATTAGTATAGACATGAGCTATTTTATGATTACTGCTTGCATGGTATATATTTTTCTATCTTTTTACTTTTGCCATATTTGTGTCTTTGTATCCAAACTTTGTCTCTTGTTGATAGCAATAGTTGAATTTTGCTTTTTATCTGGTCCAATGATCATTGCCTTTTAATGGAGGTGTTAAGACAGTAACATTTTATGCTAATGTTGATGTAGCTGTATTTACATTTATCATATTACTGGGGTTTTTTTTCCATATGTCGCCTGTAGTTTTCATTGTCCTTTCTCCTTAACTAGCTTTGTTTGAGTTAAAGAAATATTTCTAGTATAAAATGTTAAGTTTTCCTATTTCTGTGGGGTTTTTGTTGTTGTTGTTGTAGTTTGTGTTTTAGTTTTTTTCCCCCTAATGGTTGTTCTAGTGGTTACAGTATGCATCTTACCCTATCATGGTCTACTTCAGATTAATACTAAGTTAATTCCAGTAAGATACAGAAACTTGCCTCCAACATTGCTTCATTTCCTTCCAGCTCCAACACAGGGATGCTTTAATATGGGCACCTGATCCAATGCAGAGCAATGACACGCGGGCATAGAATTTTTTGTTTTTGTTTTCTGGTTGTGTTTTGTTGTTGGTGTTGTTGTTGTTGTTGGTGGTGGTGGTGTTTTTAACTGGGAAGAGAAGTTCTCTTTTCTTCTGGAGTTTATATCAGGAGATTCATGTTTCCTTCATGAACTGAGAGTAAATTCAAGATAGAGGGAATAAATAGAATTTGGAAGACATAGACCAGATCCTGATGATAGGGTTTGAGCTTCAAAATTCAGCTTTGGTTCAAGTTAGAACTGCTCCCCCAATTCCTTTTCTCTACTTAACCTGGTTTTGCTTTTTATCGTATATAACATAAAAGTCCTAATAAAGAGAGCAAAACCTTTTTTTTTTGGCCCTTGTTGGCCTAATTTTTGGTGACGTGAAAGAAGGCTGAGGTAAAGGAAACCAAATATATTGGTAGATATTTGTTCAAACAACCAAACCAATACCTGTGATGATAAAGAAAATCAGATGGCTAAAACTGTTAAGAATGTGGACTAAACTGAACTAATATTACACTGTATGTTAACTAACTGGAATTCTAAATAAAAACTTAAAAAAATAAAAACAATAACAAAAACAAGAATGTGGATTAAATTGCTCAGTAGAACCTGAAGTGCAGGTAAAAATTGTAGTTTTAGGACAGTGGCCGAGTGGATATTTGTAATATTATGAACAACGGAGTATAAGAGAGGAGACCATTTGGTTGGTGAAGGGTAAGTTACATATTAAACATCCTAACCCATTAGTTCCTGTGGCTTCTTTACTACTGAATATGTTAACGTGCATCTAAGAGACAAAACTGAGTAAACACAAAGAGTTGGAAATCAAGTGCATATATGTGTGTGTCGAATTTGAGAGAGTGGATAAGGTCAATTATAGATAGTGTGTAAAATGAGGAGAGATTTGAAAAACACCTAACTTAATATATTTGCCTGTGTCCCCTGCAAAGTCATGTAAACTTCTTGAGGGATATTATGATAATTTACTCATCTTTGATTCGCCAAAGCCTGTCCCGAGGTTTGGCAAATAACAGCATATTGCTTTATGTTCCTGTTGAATAAATGAAAGAACCATTGCATTATTCAAACTTTCTCATGCAGTTAGGAAAAAATTATGGGACTCTTGTTTTCCTCATAAATATGTCTCATTTCCAGATACTAGAAGCTTCATGCTATAATTCTACAAGGCTCAAAGCTGTTTCTACCTTTTAGGAAATCTGACAACCTCACATGTCTTCTGGAATGATTGGCCTGGGTCTTATTTTTACTTATTTGCTCTCGCGTTGAGACCATCTTTACTCCTACCATGGGGTTGGTAGGGATGTGATGAAGCTTTGTAAATGAGAAGGGTCTATCACCTCTTGACTCATGTCTTCCCTTTTCTCCCTAGGATGTGAATCACATCATAGAAAGGTATGTGTGGGGGATCAGAAATGGTCCTTTTGTGCAGTAAAAAGAGGTTTAAAGTCATTAGAGTTCTATGGTGATCAATTAGAATAAAACATCTCTCAGGGCAGAACAATTTGGGTGTAGTTATATGTTAAATTTCTGTTCACAAATTGTGGTTTGAGTGTTCTGTAACTATTGACAATGGACCAGGTTCTGTGGGAGGGAATGTGGGTGGTAGGAAGTCACACAGTTTGGGTCAGTAGCAGTACTGTGGATAAGGGGTGGCAGACCCCTGTGACTTCATAAATTTTATTCACCTTGCATGCCCGTAACTAACTCAGGTACTTATATTTCATAGGTGCTTGGCTATGGGAAGTTCATGTCTTCTTTTCCTGCCAAGTACCTGGAGTTGGATACAGTTCCCTTAAATTTAAACTTCTGCCCTGGGAATAGAAGAGACCTTCTATATGGCTCTGTTTAGATTTCCAAAAACAAACTTGAATCTCATGGAATATTTTGGCCCTAATATACACACAAGTGATCCATCTTCGTCACAAACTTTAGAAGCCAGAATGGAAAGGTGACATCCTTGTGTATAAATTTGCACACCTACCTGACAGCATCAAGCTTTTTCCTAACACATGAAATTCAGGCCATCATTAGTTTGGTGTTTGTGTCTTCTGTTCTAAGTGTTTGCAAATTTTCCCAGAGAACCTAAAAGCTCAGATGTTATTCTGAGGGCTTCCCTGCTGGGGAGCGGAGTTTAAGGACCTTGGTCCTCCCCAGACAATATTCCCACACTTGATATGTTCCAAACATCCAGGAGCCAGGTCCTGCAACTTCATTTTCTGAACATCTGGCCTGGGAACCTGCATCCATGCAGTGGCTTTTCCACGCATTAAGTTTTTTTCAAGGTACCAAAGTTTTGTTTCGTTATATCCATTATTTTATATAATTTCTAGGAGATAGAGAGGGAGAGGTAGATGATTTAATTTTGGAAGGAAGAAACTGTGCCTCTGAGAGGTCAAGACTTTCCCAAGGTCACACAGAAGGTAACTGGGAAGGTAGACATGAACACATTTCTTCTGGCTCCAAGGTCAGGAGTCTGCTCTCCTCTTTCTCGGGGTCTCTGGGGAGGAGGGCTCAAGCTCTTCAATGGGATGAATAGGAAGTCAGTCGTTTTGAAAGGACAAAAATTCAGAAGGGTGGGGTTCAATTTTTGTCATCCTTAGGAGTAAGAACTTGAGCCTGAAGAAACAAAACATGTTTTTCAAGGAACAAAGGAAAGTGTCCCGAATTGCTGATCTGAAAGTGATAATAGAAGCATTTGGAGGTGAGGAGTGCTGGAGCAAGTGGCTGGCTGTGGGAGTCTTGTGACGGCGGGGGCTAAATGGGGAAAAGGGCACAACTTCTAGGTATGGAGAGAGAAGACAAAGGACATCACATGCTGATGATATGGTCATATTGAATGGGAAGTGGCCAGGTGTCTGGGGCACACTCTCCTTAACCATTTTACTACCTCACCATAGTCCCCAGTCCTTCCCCTAATCTTCAGGGCAAAGAGATTTCAGGGCTGTCGCCTTTGTTTGTGTAACCTTGAATAATGTACATAAATGATGTGTTTCTTCTCTTAAAATCATCTTGGTGTAAAAACTGCACCATGCTTAGGATCACTGTAAGAAAATAAATGTCATTAAGTATAAACATCTAAGTATTTTGATTTATTTTTTTATTTTTTTAAATTTAGAAATAATGAAAGAGAGCAGCATGACGGACAGAGAGAGAGAAGCAGACTCCCACTGAGCAGGGAGCCGGACATGGGGCTC